TGGATGTTAATAATTCGATAAAAAGGGCTCTGTACCACGGGCTAAAGGCGATTCGAAATGATATGTAGTTACTTTTTAACTGGGACAGGGAACATGTAGAAAAAGAAATATCAGTTTGAATACACAATTGGTAGGGATTGGTATTGAATAGATCAAACCAGGTTTTGTAACTGGTTCAGGACGTTCACGAGTGAATGGAAGGAACTTGAAGGTTTCTTAATAGAGTTTGTCCACAATAGTACAGAACCCTTATTCATGCAAAATACTTTTCCGAGGTAGACTGCGATATCGGAAAACATAATTTTTATTATGATTGTGATTTTTCTTTTTAGTTGGAACCAAATATATTAATAAAATAATAAATATTCAGTACCATATTTATAAATATATATATATATATATATATATATATATATATAAATATATAAACTAGATTTGTCTCTAAATCAAAGATAATATAATGGCAAAAGTACTTTCCGTATAAGAAAAAAATAAAGTTTATAGATTTTTTTTTGTAAATTTAAACATAAATAACCTAATTTATACATAAGTTTTATTATATTTTATATTTTATAAATGGAAAAATATAATTAACTCACTAACATTTCGCCAATTCAGCCATCATTAGGGAGAAAAGCCAATATTTACTTACGTGCAGAAAGAAAAAAACGTCTGCCAAGTAAGGTACATAGCTTCCTCACTGATTCCGTTGTATATCACAAGGTATACAATTTATGAGAATAAAATCTCTGAGAGAAGCAGAATCGGAATAGCCGATTACAGTTACCCTTCAACATTCAACAACAGAGGGTCGTATTTGAAGATTCCATACTTAATTATGCTTAAAAAAAAAAAATGAATACTGAACATGAATTTCAATACTGTTAGTGCAAAAGTATGTAATGTAAAAATGTATTTATAGTTTTATAAGAGTTAATAAAAACTCATTATTTCTTTATGCTTTATTAGAATAATTTCATATTTTACTGTCATCTGCTATTTTCCATAGTAGCACACTACTTATATCAGTTGCACATTACAAAATTTCACCTTTAATACACATAGAATAAAAGTTTTTCATACAACCTTTAGCACTAATAATAGTGATATACACTACCGGATCCAGATTTAATTTTGGGAGAGGGGCTTCAGCCCGAAAGATTTTTTTTTTCATATATATATATATATATATATATAAACTTAACTATTTATTGGGAATAAGGTCATTTAATTGTTATTAAATAAACTATTGAATATTCATTTCTTCTGCTTATTGACGTTTCGATCCCGGTATTTTCTTTTTATTAGTCAACCATGGGATCCTCTTCAAAGCTAGAATTTTAAAAAATAGAGCTTCGATCAGGCCAGGGACACACCGACAGTTTCAGCACCGTCCACTAGCACATATATTAAGCTACTGTTAATATATTAAGTACTTTTTTTTTAATCATTAGTAATAGGCTAAAATAATAGCATTACTTCAGTAACACATTCAAAAATCAAAACAAAAGATAAACCAATGTAATAACACATCTAAAAAAAACTAGAGACCATATCTTTGCTCCTAATTGTCCGATTTCAACGAAATTTTTTTAGGAAAATCCGTAAACTTTTAAAAAACCATATACAATATTGACAAAAATGTACATGCTTCTTGAGTTATTCGGAGTTTAATTTTACCATCCCTCGTAACTTTTTCGTTGAAGTATGTTATATAGGTAAATTTAAAGGGCGTAGAGAAAATGACTTTAGCGAAGTTTCATTGAAATCGGTACATTCGTTTAGGCACTACAGTCTATGTCAACTTTTAAAATTATTTTAAAGTAAAAAAAAAGTATATATAATCCACTGAATCAAGACAGAGACATTGTTTAAAAAACTATTTTATTATACTAGTAGACATGAAAAAAGAAGTGATTAACTATAATCATGATAAAATTGAACAGTTTATAAATAATAACATTTATTTATTTTAACAGGATATTCAATAAATACATTTTTTTTTTTTTTTGGAAATAGAATGAAGGAATAAGGATGGAAATTTCGGGGTCAAAAGAAGGATAGTTGAATTTAGTGATGATATGAAGGGGTCTCGACGTGGTGTACCACTGGAACATGATGTACTACTGGAACATGAGACACGACTGGAACATGGTGGACTGCTGGAGCTGACTTGACTTTGATCTCGACTGGAACAGAATGCTTGACGTAGTTGACTTGGTTCTGGGTCGAGTAAGCGTGTTCGTGGGACTCGTGGTGGCCGTAGGAAGCGGCGAAAGCCACGGCTACGAGAGCGGAGAGGATCAGCTGGAAATATTAATTATATATAGTTAATTAATCGGTTTATACTAATTAATTTATTAATTAATTATTACTAGTTGCTTGTACTCACGAGCTTGTACATGTTGATTGTTGAATGTGCTCAATATGTTTCCACCTCGATATATATATACACATCTAACCCCCTTCACTAGAGCTGTGGTCCTTCAAGCAGCAAGAATAGTCTTAGGAGGCCGCCATTAATTATACAATAATTCGTATAATTATTCATTAATTTAAAGATCATTATAACTGTAAAAATATCTTAAAGCAAATATAGCAATCATTTTGGTTTATTATTTTCAATAATGAACCATTGTAACCGTCCAAAAAATTCAAAAACTTTCCTCTATCCTCTCAAAATTTGAGGTTGTACGTTTCAGCTAACGGAATGGACTTAATCCGTAACAAATGATAATAATAATAATAAAGGCAAGAAGCCAACGTTTCGACCCGACTTTAGTCTTCTTCAGAGAGGTGTGTTCAGCTAGGAGTTTCACTTAGAACTGGAAAATCCTATTATTTAACAAAATATTAAATATTTGATAGTTGACCGTTCCATTATAAAGGAATGAGGGGGTTGCTGCCATAAATAGGCTGAATATTGGCAAAATTATTTTATTAAAAGCCAACGTTTCGACCCTACTTTGCAGGTCTTCTTCAGGGAGGGTTGTTCAGCTAGGAGTTTCACTTAGAACTGGAAAATCCTACTATTTAAAAAAAAACATTGAATATATGATAGTTGACCGTTGCATTATAAAGGAAGGAGATGGTCCGGGGTGGCGGTAATAAATAGGCTAAATAGTGGTAAAACTATTAAAAGCCAACGTTTCGACCCGACTTTGCAGGTCTTCTTCAGGGATATCATTCAGTTCTAAGAAACTCCTAGCTGAACACACCTCCCTGAAGAAGACCTGTAAAGTCGGGTCGAAACGTTGGCTTTTAATAAAATAGTTTTACCACTATTTATCCTATTTATGACCGCCACCCTGGACCATCTCCTTCTTTGAAAACATAAACATCCACTCACTCAAACGACTGTTACATAAAAACTGTGAGTCCAAAATGGCTGAAACTTTGCTGGGTAACTGTCAACAGGTCAACAACGAAATTCACTTGTTTTTATTTACGAGTGCTGCCATCTTCACTTTGCGGTCGGAAACATTTTAGACCACCCGTATGTACCCTTAAAAAAATTTGAAGATTTAATGAAAACATAAATATTGAATATTTAATAGTTGACCGTTGTATTATAAAGGAAGGAGATGGTCCGAGATTACGGTCCTAAATAGACTGAATAGTGGCAAAACTAAAGCAGGTCTTCTTTAGGAGCTGCAAATTGATTCAGTTCTAAGTGAAACTGCTAGCTGCTAGCTGAACACACCTCCCTGAAGAAGACCTTCAAAGTTGGTTCGAAACGTTGGCTTTTAATAAAATAGTTCTGCCACTATTCAGCCTATTTATGACCGCCACCCCGGACCATCTCCTTCCTTTATAATGCAACGTCAACTATTGATTTTGTTAAATATGCCAAATGGTGAATCATGTATTGTATTGACAATTTTCATAACTTAAAGTATAAAATAACAAAGCATCCCTTTATAGCCAGGTCAAGCTATCTCTGATAGCTTAGAAATAGTTATCTAGAAGGTACCGACTGGACACAAGACCCATTATCAAGACTTAGGGAACAATAACAGATTTCAGCAAAAGGTCTCTTTCTCACAGACCTCGTCTTAAGAATATTATTTTTCGATAACTTCCTTTGGAGTCCTCTTACGACTTCCCTTCCCTCCCTTGATATTCATTGGTATATAACCCCCATGATCCTCTGGACAAATCACTCTTGCAGTTACATTCTTGAAGTCACACTCTTGTAGGAAATTCGGAGTAAACTCTTGCAATCAACCCATGTATTAATAGTATTACTCTGTATTTTGATTTTCCACTTGTATCAGACATTATGAATAAAAGTATAACTTATAGTCTTCACTGCCTCCGATTCGTTAACTATACGTAGAACTAAAATAATAATTTTCTGTACGCACTACAACAATGTAGACAACATCATAAACTTATTTTACATAAAATGAAATGAGAGAATTTCGTTTCTACAAAAATCTTCATAACGCAATTTAAAAAAAAAGACAAGAAGAAATACTAGTGGAGAAAAGATAAATTGGTTGCAAATATGTCAGGTTTCTCAAAAGTATACCATATACCATTTTATATAAAACATCGATAGAGAACAAAGGAATTTAATAATTTGAAGTTATGATTTACACGTCAGAGAAGACCTCCATAATTTAAAAAAATCACCCTGGTGCCTTTGTATCACGATGAATATTATTTATAAAAAAAAAATAAAGAAAACTATACATATATTTAAAACACTAACCTTTAATTATCTCGAAACAAGATAAAATGGACTTACTTTCAAAATTAACGGTTCAGATGTTATCGGACCAAATTGTTACAGTCATGATTATTAAATAAATTTTATATAACGTACATGTATTTGTATTTAATGATATTTTTATATTATAATAAAATAATCATTGCGAGCAAAATCGTACTCAATCGAAACCCTGACCTTGTGTCTCCCCCTAAAAAGTGAACGGTGATTGAGGAATATATAAATATCCAGTCGGTAGCCAGTTTAGGCACATTCAACCGTCATCATGTACAAGCTCGTGAGTCCTACTATCATATACTAACATATATATATATATATATATATATATATATATATATATATAACTTAATTATGTAATATATTTCCAGCTGATCCTCTCCGCTCTCGTAGCCGTGGCTTTCGCCGCCTCCTACGAAAAACACGAGTCCCACGAACACGCATACTCGACCCAGAACCAAGTCAACTACGTCAAGCATTCTGTTCCAGTCGAGATCAAAGTCAAGTCAGCTCCAGTAGTCCACCATGTTCCAGTCATCTCTCATGTTCCAGTAGTACATCATGTTCCAGTGGTACATCATGTCGAAGCTCCAGTGTACCATCACTAAATTCAACTAGCCTTCCTTTGACCACACAAGTCCCTTCCTTATCCCTTCAATCTCTTTCCAAAAAAAAAAAATGTATTTATTGAAAAATCCGTCCTAATAAAAACGTACTATTCTTTATAAAAAAAAATTTTTATTATATTTATATAGATCCATACCTACTAGAATTAAAAACATTTGAATTTATAATCGTCGTTTCTAGAGTTACAGTCATATTAGTTAACTTTTTTAAATGAATGAAAAGAAAAATAATTATATTATGGGACTGAAGTCTCCTTACAATAATAGTAGAGTTCAAAATATATGTACATCAGTCTGGCATGTAGATATCATACAAATAGGAAAATACAAATATATACAAAAAATACAAAGGAAAATATTTATTTATTTATAAACGTTTTGGGCTATTCAACTACCTGCGTCATTTTCGTCCTACATTACAATTGGACCAACTACTACATAGGCATGCATAACAAATCTACAGTTCTAAAATACAATTTAAAGTTTAGAATAGTGACAGATGAATACGATAGTGAAATTAAATTAATGTTATAAAAATTGGAAATTAAAGATTTAAAAGGAGATAAGTTAACAAAAACAACAAAAATAAAGGTTAATGATTTTAAGAACAAAAGCTAAAATATACATTTTTAAATAATAAAAATTAATATTAACAGAAGCGAAGTCATAGAGTACAGTTTAAATATTAAAAAGTACGAGAACCATTACAATTAAATATTAAAGATTAGAAAAAGATAAGTTAACAAGGACATTTAAATAAAAGGTTAACGATTTCGGGAATATAATAAAAAAATACATTTAAAGAAATAAAATTAATATTAAAAGAAGAATAGTTAAAAAGTACAATTCAAATATTAAAAATTACAAGAAGAAAAATTGAAAAACCATTATAATTAAAAATTATGATTAAATGAAGAAAAATTAATAGGTATATTTATAATTTGAAGAGGAACCTACAAACTTGAAAAACTTAACAGGTATATTTATAATTACAAAAAAAGGAAAATATAAATATCTACAAAAAATACTAAGGAAAAATACAAATATATATAAGAAATACTGAGAGAAAAAAAAAAAAGAAGAAATAAAAATAAAATGGCTCATACCAATTAACTGCTGGTGTCCAACGTAATTATATAACCCAGAAATTTTTACAAGCTTGAGGAAGTTTGAATTTGTTGTAGGTGGTGGAATATGAGTTGTTTGAAGGAGTTTTTGGACGTGGTTTGGCGTATGGAGACGGGTAAGGATGACGAAGGAAGTGGTTTTATAGGAGGGGATATATAAATCTATAGGTTGAGAGACTGGATAGAGGAACGTGGAGTATGGAGTTCCAGGATGTAGGGAGGCTTTTTTGTTCTGAGGACTTGGAAAAGGAATACGCCAAGGAGGAATTGCCGTCGGGAAGTAGGATAAAGCCACTTCAACTCGGTGTACCAAGAGGAAACGTGAAAACGCTTGGGAATTCCCAAGATGAATTTTATGAAGCAATTCATAAGTTTGAGGAAGGTTATGCGAGGTCTATTGTGAAATTGCCTATAGCTTTTGATTGCGTATTTTCTAATTATTTATAGTGTTTTTTGTGTTAATTTTTCTGTTTCATAATAAGTTTCTGTTAGTTTGTTCATTAATTATGTTATTTTGTCGTTACTGTTCCTGTTAATTTCGTTTTATTGGTGTATATAGTTTTGGACTGTTAGGTTAAGTGTTTCTTTTTAAGTGTTATTTCTGTAGTACGTTTTGTAAAGTTCTTCAGTAGTGAAATATTGGGTTAGACATTGTCGTACCTTAAGGTAAGTGTCAGTGTAAGACTCATCAAGTTTATTTCACTATAACCTTTTGTATCTACTACTTAACATTTTTCCAGAAAATAGTTTTAAAGTGCGTTAAGGAAAATATTCGACCCCTTGGTAGCTAAAACTACCTTAAGCTTCCCTAGGAAGCCCAAAGACTCTTTAGGAAAGACAAGTAAGTTTTCTTTTATTTAAAGGTTACACCACTTTTAATTTACTATGTTGAATGATAATATAGTTGAAGGAGTGGAACCTCGTAAAGAACGAAAACGTACGATAAAGAGGGCCAGGAAGGGTTCCCCTGTTGCTAAAAAGAAATTGGAAGAGGGCTCTAATCTATTTCTTGAAGCCAAGAGAATACAGGAGAATCTTCGTTTATACATGGTCAAACATGAAAACAAGCCCGTGAGTAGTGTTAGGGACCATATTAGCACCAAGATTCAATGTCTTGTTAAGATGATTGAGACCTCAGAAGGCGAAGATAGTCAAGATAGTTATGACAGTGTACTTACCCTTGTCCAAAGAGCAATAAATGAAACATTGTCATCGGAAAAGGTGCATGAAATGTTAACCAAAGTTATCGTTGAGACTTCTATGCCAAAGGTTTTGGAGGCTCTTTCAAGTTCAGCACCTCAACATTTACAGAATAAGGCAGGACCCTCTGGAGAACAGCACCAACTTGCTAGTCAAGATATGGATCATTCTCCGGAGGTAACAGAGAGATTTGAAACCGTCAAGAGTAAGAGAAGGAGGAAAAAAACTAAAACTACTAATAAAGCACTTACTTCGTCAAACAGAGTGATCTCAATAGAACCGAAAGCTCAAGAACAACGACAAGAGAAACCAATAACCATTGCGGATATTGTGAAATCTTTGCCTACAAAGCCAACTCAAACTGAGAGATCAACTTATATCACTATAAGCGGAACGGGCAAGAGACCAGCCGATATAATCAATGGGTTGCCTTCACCAAGCGAAATTGGAGTAAAGGCCTCCATTGTCCGTACGACCAAGACTGGCTCCGTGTTGGTCCGCATGGATAATAGTAGTGATGCCACGAAGGTGATTGGATGGCAAGGGCTAAGAGACAGTGGCCTTCAAGCCAAACTTGCCTTGAGGAAGAAACCTAGATTGGAGGTTCAGGGGGTCCCCCTCTCATGGGATTCAGCGGAGTTGGTGAGATTTTTATGGGAAAGAATACCCGAGAAGTCGGTCCCCACTCCGCTGGTCCTTGATGATATCCGGCCACTTTTTTCCTCAATGTCAAGAAATGGCTTTACAAAGAATTGGGTGATAGAAGTGCACCCTACAGTTCGATTCCTGCTGTTGGAAATAGGAAGCTTAGATGGAGGATGGTGGAGTATTAAAATCAAAGACTACCTCGACGCTCCTCGATGCAGTAAATGCCAGGGATATGGTCACACTAAGGCCACTTGTATATCAAATGCCGTAGTTTGCATTTGGTGCGCTTCCACTGGCCATGTTATAAAAGATTGCCCTAAGAAAAAAGAACTGGCTAGCCCATCGTGCATCAACTGCGAGCGGGTAAATGCGCCTGCTAGTCAAAGGAAGCACAAGGCGGGAAGTCGGGAGGGCCCTGTGCACCTGAAGTGGGCTAAAGAGGTAGCGAAGAGGACCTTTTATGAGTGAGCTTACCATCCTCCAGCTCAACATGGGGCGCCGGCATATAGTGGCAGACGAACTCCGGGCTCTTTATCCGCGCTACGATGTTATGGCGGTTCAAGAACCGACCTGCCGTGGGAACTTAGTCACGGGGTTTGGCCTCACATCGAGAGTTATAGCTTTGGGCAGTAGAGAGAGGAGGCCTAGAGCTGCTATTGTGATTAATAATCCTAACCTCGATGTGATGGATCTGAGGCAGTATACCACGGCGGATTGTGTCGCATGTCATATCAAGTGGCGTAATGTTTCCTTTACGCTAGTTTCATCATACATGCCTGATGGAAATGACATAGAAAGGGACATAACCGCCGTGGAGATGATCACGGCTTGCACTCGGAACGTGATTATCTGCTCAGATACCAACTCTTGGAACACGGTCTGGGGGTCCAATCGAACCAATAGAAGAGGCGTCCAGCTTGGTGAATTTATAGCAAGGAGCCAGCTACTAGTCATCAACGATTCCTCCGCTATCCCAACGTTCTCCAGTGCAAGAGGCCACAGCTGGATCGATGTGACTTTGGCATCACCGGTGCTGGCAAACCGCATCATCGATTGGACCCTTCGATCTGAGACGAGTTCCGACCATCAGGCGATATCTTTTAGGCTGGTGGAAAGTTCATTTAGTTCCCACGGCACAGACAAGGGTTACATAACCCGAAGAAAAGATTGGAGCGCCTTCCGGTCGACTCTGGAGGGAAAATTGGTTGATGAGGAATGGGATGAGGCTGACATGGATCAGACTCATGATCTGGATTACAGGGTATCCAGGATCACAACTGTCATCCGTGATGCTGCTGAAGAATCCCTCCAGCATCGGAAGGCGAGAGTTCGACCTGTTCCATGGTGGACGCCGGCATTAACTATGATGAAGAGAGAGCTCTACAAGGCCCGGCGGTCGTACCAGAGGTGTATTTGTGACGAGAGGCGCATTACACTTCGTGACGAGTACAAGTCTAAAGCCCGGGCATATCGAAATGAGGTGCGCTTACAAAAGCGGAAGTCTTGGGACGAGTTCATTGTTGAGGAGTCATCAAAGAATCCTTGGGGTATTCCTTACAGAGTGGCTCTGGGTAAGCTAACACCACAACAAGTGATTGCTGCGCTCAAGTGCGGAGCTACCCATGCAACCACTCTGGAAGAGACATCGAAGATGTTTATAGCGGAAATCTACCCCAGAGATGATCCGTCCCAAGATAATGAAGAAGAGGAATTCATAAGGCGCACTACGGTATGTCCACCTGGTACGGACTTGTGCCCACCATGGGACATATGGGATCTGCGTGCTGCTGTGGACAGGCAAAGGACTGGTCGTGCTCCCGGTTTAGACGCAATCGATGCGGCTATGCTAAAGAATAGTATCCCCTATATCGAAGATACATTGTTGGAGTTATTCAATGATTGCCTTGATAGGGGATACTTTCCACGAAATTGGAAAATTGCCGACATAAGGCTCCTTTACAAGGGAGGAGACAAGGACAAGCAATTAGCCAAGTCTTATAGGCCTATATGTCTCCTCCCTGTTATGAGCAAAGTGTTAGAGAACCTACTCCTGGTGAGCCTACGACCAGTCTTCTCAAGAGCGAGCCATCCACGGCAGTACGGATCCACTAAGGGTAGGGGAACCGTGGATGCCCTGCTGAGAGTGCGCCATGACGTCGAAGAGAAGGCGGAGAAGTATGTTATGCTCCTCCTGTTTGATATCACCTCCGCCTTCGATAGTGTTTGGTGGCCTTGCGTACTCCAGCAGTTGCAGAAGTATGAAGCTCCCAGCAACTTGTACGAGCTATTACGAAGCTATCTTCAGGACCGAACTTTAAGAATACGGGGTAACTTCTTCGAAGTTGAAGACTCCATGGAAAGAGGTTGTCCCCAGGGTTCAGTTCTAGGTCCTGCCCTATGGAATTTAGTCTTCAATGAGTTGTTGGGAGTACTGGAAGAGGAGCGGTTCCCCGCTACGGCTTATGTAGATGATCTGGCCGTTGTGGTAGCCTCGAACAGCAGAGCCCGACTGAAAGAAGAAGCTGAAAGGTGCGCCAACTTAGTAGAAGAGTGGTGCGAGAAGAAGAAATTCAGGATGGCCGCCGCCAAGACCCAGGCCATCCTCTTGAAAGGCACGACTGATAGGGCTCACCCTATAACAATGGTTATACAAGCATCAAGAATACGTCCAAGTGAGGTCGTCACCTACCTTGGGATTAGGATTGGAAGAAAGTTCAACGTGACACCTCACTTGGACTACTTGAGAAGTAGGGTAGCCCTAACCCTTAACGGACTCAGTCGTATTGGGGGCGCATTTTGGGGCCTCAGGTACCCAGCAACTATGACCATTTATAAAGGTGTTATTGTGAGTATCCTGAGGTATGCGTCCCCTGCCTGGAGCCAAAATCTCTCGCACAGACAGAAATGTAGGTTGGCCACGATTCAGCGGATGGCTCTGCTTCGAGTATCCAGATCATTTAGGACGGTGTCTCATGAGGCTGTGCAGGTCTTGGCAGGAGGAATACCTCTCGACCTCCTGCTGAGAGAAGACTACTACCGGTATCAGATTAGGAGAGAATGCTTAGCGGCTCTACCGGATTACCTCCGAGTGAGAATAAGAGATGATCCAAGAAACTGGAAGAAGATTCTCCGGGAGGATACAGTAGAGGACTGGAACCGACGGTGGTTGACGACTCCCAAAGGAGCTACTCTAAGGAAGTACTTCCCCACCGTCAGTTCGCGACTAGAAGCGACTTGGGTCCTCCCGGACTACTGGATTTCACAGATTCTCACGGGGCATGGGGGTTTCCGAGCAAAGCTCGATCAGTATGGTATAAATATCGATCCCCTATGCCCAAGTTGTGGGGTACCGGAGACCGCTGAACATGTTGTACTTACCTGTACGGTCTATGAGTCACTGAGGGTGAAACTGTTGAGAGAAACAGGTCTCTTTGTCCTAACAGAGAGAGATCTTCCTCAACTTATGGACAAAGAAAGATACGATCATTTTAAAAGTTTTATATACGGATGGAAAGAAGTTGTTCTACCAACCCACTTCTCTTTGGGAAGAAGAAGAGAAGCTGCACCGGGGAGGCCACCAGAATAAGAATAAAAGTAAACCAGATACAAGTGAAGAGAAGAGCAAGCTGTGTGCACAGCTCAGAAAAATAATGTAATAGCCAAAAAATGCAGCAGTGGGTTGTTATGTAACAGTAACATCCCACTGCTGCAAATACCCGTATTGCCTTCAGGCAGGGGAGGGTTGAAAATAAAATAAAAATAAAAAATTCATAAGTTTCTTCAGTCTCGCTTTTAGTTCTGTGGGTAGCCCTCCGTACACCAAGCAAACGTAGTAGAAGTGGGAGAAAACAAGGGATGTTACAATGAGCTGTCTTGTTTTTTTTTTTAAGTGGAATCACTTTTATACCCCTATTCGCTTAAGAATTAGTAATTTGCATTTTTTTCTACATTTTTGTACCCAGCTTGGTACTTGAATTTTCAGTCTAAATTTGATATTTATATTTTACTTAATTTTTCTTATTTTTCTCTTATTAGGTATCTATAGTTCAATATAGATTTGTTTGTAACACGAATTTACCTTATCTTTTTCGAAATTAATTGTTCGATCAATTTGAAATTAAAAACATATAAAATTTAATAAAATCTTCATATAAACTTTTACAATCCTTAAAAAATATATGGAAAAAACAAGGACTATAGAATGGCAAACAAATTTATTTTATTTTTTTTTTTTTTACCACATACAAGTACCATGATATAACTATATGATATTATGTTTATATAAGTCCTAGGCAGTATTTCATATGATATATTTTGAAAAATAAAATTTATTTTTTTATATTATGAATTTTGAGAAGTTAAATATAAAATAGATTGTTTTTAACTGTATTGTTTTCTTTTTCAAAATACAAAAAAAAAATAATAACCCATGCACGACCCACGAGTGATGAAGATTACTTGACATTGACCGGATTCAAACTGAGCATTGGAAGTCAGTGCTACTCTTCTTTTCTGAAATACAGTATAGAAGATAAAAGTATTTGTATCTTATTTCCAAGATACTTAGATGCAAAATATGTATTTAATTTTTTATTTTAAATACTTTGAGTATTTTGGGTTTGAAATAGCTTTTCTAGTAATAATTTAAATATTTTGCAATTAAAATATACCGTGTTTGAAAAACGCAAAATGATATTCTACAATATTAATTAAAATACTTTCAGCTCAGGTCTGGTATATATTATATTCCTTTTCTATATGTTCAATGTCTGCAGCTTTTTACGGCTATTATATTCTTTATAACAATGAAATAAATAACTGTACGATAAAAATCCATGAAGGGTCATGGGTTCATATTTTTTTGTAACTGAAACTGTTACAAGGCCAAAGATTATGCACGAAGATAATCGGACCGAGATCACGCTCACTACCAGTGATTCGCAGTTGATAAGAAATTACTTGTTATCAGCAAGACTCGAACCCCGGAGTTAGATATCTGGAAGTTAGCTAACTGAGCTTGGATACTAGGAATCTCTAAATTTCCTCAAGCTTTAAGCCATTTTCGAAATATCGGTATATCAAGGAAGACATGTCTGCAAATCCGTTAGGTATTTTTTTAAATTAGTGAACAGAATTTTATAAAATTTATTTTTATTTCACAAGTTTTCCTAACATCCTTCCAACTTGATGCCTAATCGAATTTTCAGTTTTTTAATATCTATTATGCAATAACAATAATATATAACATCAATACAGATGTTTTTAAGCAATTAAAGTTAATATTAATAGTGATATTTTGCATTGGTAGGTTTTTCAATCCAATGATTATTGTTTATCTGATGGTTTGGGACCATCGTCTTTTCGAAACTACTCTAGAGTTCTCTGATAATAAATCTTGTGTAAATGTTAACTGTAATAAATCTTTTGATCAATTTCCACTTCTCATAGCAGTATTTCTCTTAGCATCCAGCGTTTAATTTTAGAGATCTTCAGCCCGAAAGCTTATATGTGTGTATATAATTATTATTTATATTACAATAACTCATTTGAAAGACAAATAAAGAAACCATCTATATGAAATAGTGTTTAAGTTATTCCTGAAGTCTTATTAAATGTAATTAGACAAACAATAATACTTTTGAAGATAATTTTTGTCATAAGACATGATGATGTTTTACCATTTTCTGATGCTTCAGCCCAAAATTCCGAATATTTTAAGTTTTCAGAATAATAATGAACTTTTAAACTTTACCAAAAATATATATATGTGTATATATATATATATATATATATATATATATATATATATATATATATATATATTATATATATATATATATATATATATATATGATTCACTCGAAAGGATTATAGAGTCAAAAAACCTAGTTTAAGAAATTAACAATTTATTTATTGACATGCCAAAGATAATAAATACATAAATAAATTTTGATGGATGATATTTCAAGATGATGGATGGAGTTTTAAGGTAGGAATGGGAATTTAGTGATGGTAAACTGGAGCTTCTACATGATGTACCACTGGAACATGATGTACTACTGGAACGTGGGAGACGATTGGAACGTGGTGGACTACTGGAGCTGACTTGACTTTGATCTCGACTGGAACAGAATGCTTGACGTAGTTGACTTGGTTCTGGGTCGAGTAAGCGTGTTCGTGGGACTCGTGTTTTTCGTAGGAGGCGGCGAAAGCCACGGCTACGAGAGCGGAGAGGATCAGCTGGAAATATATTACATAATTAAGTTATATATTTATTATTATTTGTTAATTTATAATAGAAGGTAGAACTCACGAGCTTGTACATGTTGAAGTTTGAATGTGCCCAATCTGGGCCTCTCTGAATATATATACAAATCCTGGCGTACCCTTCACTGAATGTCCACCTCTTTGGGACGTTTCAAGGTTTCGAGGTTAGGAAAAGGCTTTCTCTATATAGCTTGTTTTGGTTTTGATTATATAATAATATTTATGTATAATATTTAATCATTGACATGTAATACTTTTAAATTACTTTATGTTTCTGAGGCTATTATTCCATTTCTCTATTAAAGCAACACTTCTTACTATTAATCTTGATTAATTCCATTGATTTAAGAAAGGAGTTCTCTCATTGAGCTCTTTTTTTATATTGCTTGGTTATTGTTACGTCATCGGTAGCGAAAACAAACGAAAACATTGTAACATCTCCTAAACTCAGCGCTGAAATCATCGATGGTATCGTTTGTTCCAATTTAGAGTTGGGTCCTAAACTAACATTTGATATATCGTTGGAAAGCATAGAATTTTAGAAAAGATAATATCCAATTAATAAAGTTGTAGAAGGTAACGGGAGAGTATCGAATAAAATATAAGCAATAATTTCCATAAATAATTTCTCAGAACTAACAATATTTAACGTAAATCACATGTTGCCAAAGAAATTAAATTAAATTGTTCATACTAAATATAAACTTTTCAAATAAATACGTTTACTGTAGTTTAATAATTCTAGATCTGATATTATATTTAAATAATTAGATATCAACGTCCGTTTATTCTGAAAATCGTCATGGAACCTTTTAGATATTAAATTACTTAATAATTTGATGAATTTTCTTTTTGTGAAATCCCAATATTGTTCACTTACAATTTATGTGACAAATTTTGATCTATCCATGGCAGGCTAAGAAAATTTCGTAGTTTTAGTAATGTTTACAATAGAAAATAACATTTTAATAATTAAGAGTCGTAAAATCCATTATTATTTAAAGGTTGAATATACAGATATACTTTCAAATCTCTTTAGGCATGTATATATAGCTCAGAGACTGGAGTTTTGTTGTTCACACAATAGATGGAGTAACGAGGTTTTAATTGCCTATCGTTGATATAATTAACCGGGTTTTTTTTATTTTAATGTTCTTAATGATTTGTTAACTGTAAGCTTTGGGCTGTAGCTCCATACAAAATACGCTTCAAAAAATTTATAATACCCCAACAATGATAGAAAATAATTACTATTCAAAGTAGAGCGGTAAGTGAAAGTTGTGTGGTGCGCGCACCAGACTTTTTTCAATGTTAATAAACCTTATGAATCCTATACCAACTTTTCCTTTAATCATCATCATCATATCATTCCCTCTTTTACTGCCGTTCGGTCTGAGGGTCCTGCTTATAAAGGCTGAACCAGTTGTCTCTCACTTTTACCAACTCTATTCTCCTATTTCAATCTATTCCGTGCTTTCTGTATGACTCATTTATACTCTCCTTCCTGAAGATGCGAGGCCTTCCTCTGGGTCTTTTCCCTTCCATGTGGGTCCCGTAAGTCTTCCTAACGCTTTTATCTGAATCCATCCTGAGAAGATGTCCAAACCACCTTAATTTGTACTCCTCTCGAATAGTCTTCGCCGGTTTGAGGTTGAGATTTGTCCGTATGGTGGTGTTCCGTATCATATCTCTCCGTGTCTTTCTTTCTATTTTACGCTGATACATCATTTCCATGGCTTGTATCTGAATTATGTGTTTTGAAAGAAAGAAAAATAACTTTATTCTGGGACACAGTCCCTTGAGAATAACAAAATAGAACAAAATTAAAATATTACATCTGGCCAAAATAAAATCAATCGAAAAAAAGAAATAATGTAAAAAAAATATAAGGTAAAAATTCTATATAAAAAAAAAACTAAACTATATGCAAAACCATTAATACTATGACAAGACAATTAAAGCTATTTGCTCTTATAGACCAGTATACACTTTTCCGAAAAAAATAAAGAATTAAAAAATAAAAATGTATCAAATTCTCTATTAAAATCCGCTCGAATGGTTAGCAAGTATCTGACTGTTTTTGTGATAGGAATTGGAATAGGAGGGATTTGAATGTGGATATGGAGGGGAAATGTCGGATTTTGATAGGGAGGGAATTCCAGAAATTGACAGAGCGAACAATAAAGGAATTATGGAATGAGGCAAATCTGTGAGAAGGCATGTAAAGGTCAGAAGGTCGAGATCTTGTGGACAGGGAATGGACTGAGGATTTGAACTGGAGAAGGTTGTAGGCGTAAGAAGGACGATGGTGGTTGATGATTGGTAGAGGAACGTACCTAATAAATATTGTCTTCGGAAGGAGGGGAAGAGCCACTTTAACTCAGTGTAGTGGTGAGAGACATGGGAGTTAAGTTTTGTGATGAGCGTCCACGATTCTGAAGAGTACGATAAGATAGGGACGAATGTCGCTTTATATACGGCTAGTTTAGTTAGTGTTATTTGTATTGTGTTATTTTTATTTATTTATTTTTAGGTTATTTTATTCTTATTTATTGTATATATAATATTTTCTGTATAATTTATTTTATTTATTGTACATAGAGTGTGAATGTGATCTGTGAACTCTATTATAAATGTTCTAGAGACAGATTGTAATATTTTTCAATAAATAAGTTTAAAAAAAAAAAAAGTTTAGTTCGCCTTGACATCTCTCTTCCCAGGAACCCCCGTCTGACCATATTGATCATCTTTCCTGCCGCTCCCATTTCTTCAACACTTCTTCGTCTATGTAGCCACCACTCTCATTGAGATGAGTTCTCAGATATTAAAACCTCTCGAATTATTCTAATCTCTGTCCTCCAACCCTTAATACGCTCATTATCCTTCGAGTTTTCTTTCCAATTCTCATGCATTTAGTCTTCCTCGGATTAATCTTAATATTTACTCTGCATAATTCCTCTTGACATTTATGTTATGTTGGAGTTCTCGTTCATTGGCTGTTTTCCCTTCCGTGCTGGTCCCGTAAGTCTTCCTAACGCTTCTGTCTGAATCCATCCTGAGAAAACGTCCAAACCGTCTTAGTTTGTGCTCCTCTCGAATAGTCTTCGTCGGTTTGAGGTTGAGATTTGTCCGTATGGTGGTGTTCCGTATCCTATCTCTCCGTGTCTTTCTTTCTATTTTACGCTGAAACCTCATTTCCATGGCTTGTATCTGACTTCTTTGTTTTGTAGGGGGGGGGGGCCACTTCTGTAGAGTATACTGAGGAATGTCGATTTATAGTCGGCTAGTTTGGTCCGCTTTGACACCCCTCTTCTTCCCAGGAAATCCGGTCTGACCATATTGAACATCTTCCCTGCCGCTCCAGTTCTTTGCGCTACTTCTTTGTCCATGTAGCCACTCTCATTGAGATGAGTTCCCAGATATTAAAAACTCTCGAATTATCCTAATCTCTGTCCTCCAACCCTTAATACGCTCATTATCCTTCGGGGCTTCTTTCCCATTCTCATGCATTTAGTCTTCTCCGGATTATTCTTCATATATACTGTGAATAATTCCTCTTGAAGGAAATTTATGTTATGTTGGAGTTCTCGTTCATTGGTTGTTTACCCTTTCGTGCTGGTCTCGTAAGTCTTCCTAACGCCTCTATTTGGATCCATCCTAAGAAGATGTTCAAACCATCTTAGTTTGTTCTCCTATAGAATAATCTCCGCCGGTTTGACATTGAGATTAACCCGTATGGTGGTGTTCCGTATCCTATCTCTCCGTGTCTTTCTTTCTATTTTACGCTGATACCTCATTTCCATGGCTTGTATCTGACTTCTTTGTTTTGTAGGGGAGGGGGTCTCACTTCTGAAGAGTATAGGGAGGAATGTCGATTTTATAATCGGCTAGTTTGGTCCGCTTTGACACCTCTCTTCTTCCCAGGGAACTTGGTCTGACCATATTGATCATCTTTCCTGCGGCTCCAATTCTTTGGGCCACTTCTTCGTCTATGTAGCCACTCTCATTGAGATGAGCTCCCAGATATTTAAAACTCTCAAACTGCTCTAATCTCTGTCCTCCGACCCTTAATACCCTCATTATCCTTCGGGGTTTCTTTCCAATTCTCATGCATTTAGTCTTCTCCGGATTATTCTTCATATATACTGTGAATAATTCCTCTTGAAGGACATTTATATTATGTTGGAGGTCTGGATTATTGGCAGTTAGTAAGACAACGTCGGCCAACAGAGAATATCTGTGATTTCTATGCCCTAGTTGGAATTTCCTCATTATAGTTTTGGTCTTCCTTAATGCCAAGTTAGAACCATGATGAAGTTCAACGGACTCAGGCTACAGCCCTGTCGGAATGTAGTCTTAAATTCTTTTGAAATGTGGTTTCTGGTTCCTTTATTCATTTCTCCACATTCCTTTCTTCATTTTTATATAGAGGCTCCAACGGCAAGGTTGTTCCCCGATCTACACCTTGATACTCAGACAACATCTCTCTATGTCTTCTTTCTTCACTCTGTCAAAAACCTTCTAGAGGTCCACAAAGCAGATGGAGAGCTCTTTCTCCTTCTCAATAGTGTTTTCTGTTATTTGTTTCATCGCGAAGAAGAGATCCTCCGTGCTTCTCTGATTCCTGAACCCATACTGTTCTTCTCATAGTTGGCAATCGACCATTTTTCTCATTCTTGTTTTTAGAATTCTATCTTAGACTTTTGGAGACACTCTTAGAAGGAATATTCCCCTATGGTTTCTGCACTCCCGATTGTCTCCCTTTTTGTGAATGGGCACAATCTTCGTTACTTCCTAGTCTCTGGGAATCTTCTTCTTCCAGAACAGGTTTAACAGATGGAGGAACATCTCTTGTCCTTCGCTTACTTAATAATTTCAGACCGCAGGGGCTAGCTTAGTGCAAAGCTAGTGGGGATTAACGTTCCTCCGGTTCCCGAGTTCAGTACACAGCACTAACACACTCAGAACAGTACACAAATCACCTATACTAACATAAAGTCACAGTCAGTACACACCCTAGGATCATCTTTTCCTCTAATAAGTCGCGTATTGTCACCAATAAAATGGCAATATATATACCAATTATGGCTCTGGTTTGAGGGAAGTACTCTATGATTTCTCGAATATAACGAACTGCAATATGGAGAGAGTATATTGTACCTCTAAACTGTATGGAAGGAAGCAAAAACTGTGGCAATGTACCCCTCCCCTGTTCTCATTAGACTCTTCGTCGTCTACGATCGCTCTAAATAAGAAAACGCGATTTATCTAGCGCCATGCACCATTATTTGCGGAGTCGCTGGAGTTCCTCTTAAAGAGAAATTATACCAATGTTAGACCAACTTCTCACAAACGATTACGGATGGTTTGAGTTGAATTGGATCTTGGCAGAACATTAGAGACTTAATTTAGTGTATGTAGGGCACTACAAAAAGGAATACGTCTTGCAGTAATAACCATATTTCTGTCATCCCTTTGTTTCTTAATGCGCTCAGATCTACTAACAACTCTCCTAATAGTACTTCCGGTTTTCTAAATATGTTTAATGGCTGT